GATCCTTGTCGGCCATCCTGGCAAGCCGAGCTCTTTTTTGGGGGTCTACCCGAGGGTTTAGGGTTGAGGGCCAGGCCTTAGCGCCTTCTTTCATACATGTGTGTGTCTGTGTCTGTGTGTCTGTGTCTGTGTCTGTGTGTCTGTGTCTGTGTGTGTAGAGGGTTGAAGGCTAAGGGTTTAATTAGGGTTTGGGGATTTGGGCTTTAGGGTTTAGGGTTTCGGGTTATCAAGTCTTGCGGCTCAGCGCTTTTTGGGTTCGTCAAGATGCCGGGGTCTCTACCCGGAAGCCCTGCGCTGCTGGTGATTTGGGTCGGGAATCGGATGTCTTTTCAACATCCGAAACATGCGAGACAAGGGCTACAGTGCATGCTCGAGGAAGACAGAAAAACCTGGTGTGAGCACTCGTCTTGCTTCTCCCAATCATCAGTGATGCCGTTGTTCGTGCTGGTCCTCTCGTCTTGCTTATTGCTGTTTGGTGCAATTGTTATTCCTGTCAATGCGAACAGATTGATTTAGTTATTGCGGTTGTCTTGTTTCTGCTTCTGTTCCTGCCCATACTCTTCCGGTTGCCGCCTGAAGTACAGATCACCTGCACTCGCGCCTTCTGTGTCCCATCAAAGCCACCGACAGTACTTCAATTATGGGGCGAGGGGCTGCAGACAAGCCGCAGCGGACCCAGTACGGAGACCGCCATATCCGCATAGTCCTCCTGGCATCGTATGACTACCAAGCTACTGAAGCTAGTTGAACTTTTGGCCCCGTCAACTTCAATGCGTTCAGGGGCGCACCATCATCACCAACACAACTACTGTATCTTCTCATCTAAGTCATAACCACCGTAGATCCCTAGTATGGGAGAAGCACGTGACAAGCAGTCGTTGATGGCTGAGGGGCTTAACCAAATCCGGAACATCAACCAGTGTGTTCGTTCAGTCACCCAGCATCATCCATCGCCCTACCATCACCATCACAATCACCGTCGTCGGCATCAATGTTAGTACTACTTGTACCACCACGAAAAGCACCAGTACAAGTAACATCCCCTGCTCTTGTATAGAGAATGAAAGACATGCCAGAGCTCGCCAAGCCGGAAGCGGCTTTGAGGAACGCGGTCACAGCAGCAAGGCGAACACATGCCTTCGGCAGATGCGCGGGATGCAGCTTGGGGGCAGCTCTAGTGTGGGGAACCCTTCCGCTGTGGATCCCCAAAGCGGTTCCGAGAGCTGACAGAACTGAGAATTTCACGCTGGGAGCCGGACGCGTCGATCTTCCAGGCAGCCTGCTGCAATGCTGGCAACGGTCTGCCGGTGCGCCTCCTTCGCAGCACTGACCTTGGCTTGGGAGCCAGATGAGAGACCAAAGCCTGCCTTCTGGCCGACCCCTTGTCAGGGCTTCTGGTTCAAGGAGTTCATGCTTCTGCCAGAGCCCTGAAAGAGCAAGAAGCTCTCTTTCAAGGCTTTCCGCCAGACAGAGAAAGAGCTCTGTGTGCCCGGACACTGCCGAGAGCTCGAAGAGCAGCGACCTAAGCTGTTGGGCTTTGTGGCTTACCGTCAGGCCACACCAACAATCCTCAAACTCCTCTCGAACCCACAAAAGTCTAAAACCCCCCTTTCAAAGCCCCAACACCCAAACCGTAGAACCCCAAAACCATAGAACCCCAAAACCATAGAACCCCAAAACCATAGAACCCCAAAACACTCGGGAAAACGCTCCTTTCCGACCAGAAAGGCTCCGGCCCGCTGGTCGCCGAGCGCAGTCACCGCCCTGGCCCGGTCCTGGCTCTTAGGGTTTTGCTATAAGGGTTTAGGCCTAAGTTTCTTTTTTTTAAGGGCCTTTAGGCCTAAGTTTCTTTTTTTTTTTAGGGCCTTTAGGCCTAAGTTTAAGGTTCAGGGTTTTGGGTTCAGGGTTTAGGGTTCAGGGTTGAGGGTTCAGGGTTGAGGGTTCAGGTTTGAGGGTTCAGGGTTTGGGGTTGCGACACGGGTTTAGGGTTAAACGGGGCTTTACACAGGGATGTATGGTGCTTTGTATAAGGATTTCGAAGTGTTCCAGTTTGGGCTTTGGGTATAAGGTTTGGGCTTCAGGACGTTAGACATTTAGGGTTTAGGGTTTCGGAGTCAAGGTTCGGGTTTTTGGGGTTTTGGTGTGCTTTAGAAATAGGTATGCTGGACCTGAGGATTCTCGATGTTGAGCTTGGCTTGTGACTCCAGGGTACAATCATCTTCATATTCTTTATCACCCTCTTCGCAGTGGTACAGGGATCCAGGAAAAGCTTCGCCGGCTTTGCAGCACGAAAACTGGCACAGCACTTGCGTCACAAACAAGCTTTGGGGTTGTTGCTGAATGAGCGTCCTGCTGTCGGACAAGAAAACTTCAATCCCCTCGAGCCCTCCCCCCCAAAGGCACAAGACAGACCAAAGGACAAACCCTGGTGCCTCGAGCGCTGCCGTCAGGGGGGCACAGGCGCTGTCACACAGGGCTTTGCACGTCGCCCGGCAGGAAACCAGATCAGCCCGGTCTCGAAGCGCAGGGGATTTGTAAAAAAAGGTTTGAGAGAGCTTTGGGTTTAGGTGTAGGGGCGTAGGGCTTCGAAGCACGAGGGCTTTCTAGTTGGTTTTGTAAGGCTTTATGTGGCACGTTGACAGGGCGTTTATGGGCTTCAATTTTGGGGTCTTGATAGGGGTTTGGGGATTTCGAAAGTATGGGGTCGTCTCGAAGAGTGTGGCATAGTATCGAAAGCTGCTGTATAGTAAAAAAAGTAAAAAAAAGTATAGTTTAGCTAGTCTAGTCTGGTCTGGTCTGGTCTAGTCCAGTGTAATCTAGTGTAGTCTAGTGTAATATGTATAGCTTCGTATAGTATAGTGTAGTGTAGTATAGTAGAGTAGCTTAGACTAGACTCGAGTCGAGTCGAGTAGAGTGTTGTGTAGCTTAGTATAGTAAAGAATAGTATCGTATAGTATAGTATAGTATAGTACAGTATAGCATAGTATAGTATAGTATAGTATAGTATAGTATAGTATGGCAATGGTATAGTGTAGTACAGTATAGTATAGTACGGTTTAGCAGAGTAAAGTTCGGATAGCATAGCAGAGCAGAGCCTAGCACGACATAGTAAAAGTCATATAGTATAGTATATTTTGTATGGCACAACGTATTGTTTTGTACCATAGCATAGAATAACTTTGCATAATACAGCATAGCAAAGGGCAGATTAGTATTGGTAGTCTAGCTCGGTACAGTATGGGATGGTATAACATGGTACAGTATAGGATGGTATTGCAAAGCATAGTTCCAAAAACCGACTATGATGGCACAGGGCTTACAGTATTGCCTAGGTTTTGGCTTGCAAAGTGTGCAGGGGTTTGGGGTTCGGGTCGCTTGCTTTCTACAGATTCGGGCTGCAAGCCACCATCCGAGCCCAGCAAGCCAAATCCAGAAGATCGCGAAATCTCAACGCTCTGTTCCCCTGCCCCTCCAGCGAGAAAAGGCCCCCCTTTCACAAAACCTCCAGGCGCTTTTTGTAAGCGCTTACAAAAAAATGTGCCTCAAAAACTCGGGCGTGTCCCCTTTCCCCCGAACCCCGGGCCGAGACTTTGGAGGCCAATGGGCGCCGCCTTTGCTTTGCTCTTCTTTGGACTGCGGGGCTTAAAGGCTTTGGGGTTTTGTGGTTCTTCTCCATTCACAAAAGGCATTCGAAGCTATGCTTACAGCTGACGGTCTGGGGTCTAAAAGAAGGCTAAGCTGTAAGTTTTGAGGCTTTGGCGCTTCTTGGCTCTTCTGGCAGAAGCTGTGAGAAACATAACTCACAACGCCATTAACCCCCCCCCCCCCACAACCTGCATGCCGGAGCCCTGGCAGCCAGCAATGAACCCTAGACCGTATCATCATACTATCATGTACCAAAATATACTTACAATAATGTACTGTGTCATACTAGAATGTACTCTACTATACCATAAAATACTCTAAGGTACTATAATATCCCCTGCCATTCCACCCTCAAGCTGCTCGGGGCCCGACGACGTCCTCGAACTGGACCATGCTCGCCCAACGCGCCCGGCAGGAAGCTTCGCGCTTGGCTCAAGGCTTCGGAGAGATCTCGCACCCGGCAGCTGGGAGGTGTCGAGTTGATGCTTGAGAGGCAGATTGAAGTCGGGCCGGTCTACCCCAAACCTTAAACTACCCTAAACCCTAAACCCTCCTCAAACAACGACCTCAATGCGTGGTTTTGGGTGAGCTCTCGAAGTCCTTGAGCCGGCCCAGGTGTCGGTCAGAGCCCCGGGAAGAGCAGTAGTGTCAACCCTTGACCCTAGGGTTTTAGGGTTTTCAGGGTTTAGGGTTTAGGGTTTAGGGTAATGCTCAATAATGTACTATTCAGCATACGATACTCTGATATGATATGCTATAATATACTCTAATATATTATCTAGCTAGACAAACATGTACTATGATCTACCATAATATGCTACAATAGACTCTACTAGACTCTGAAATTGCGTGCTATCATAGACTCTACTAGACAATAATATACCCTACTGGCCCTATAACATCCTATATAATATGCTATCATATGCTCTAATATGGCTCTAGGTCTCTAGGCTCTAGGGCGGAACGGTTGAGCGTGGACTACCTTTGTACTGGTTTTGTATTTTCATCAGCCTTTTTCCGTCCGGGACTGCTTGAAAGCCCAGTGTAGGGTTAGGGGTTTTTAGGGATCAGGGATTTAGGTTAGTTTAGGATTGATTTTAGGAGCTCGTTGGTCTGGATTCTTTGTTTTTGTTTGTTTAATGGTGTCGGGTGTGACAGGCGGCCTTTTTTCCCGCTCGATTGAGTCGAGGTAGGTCAGAAAAGCTGCGGCATCTTTCTGAAAGCTTCCCGTGCCAGGAAGCAGCATGAAAGAATGCAAAGTCACATATAACATTCATGATATCATCAATATCAATATGACACAATCGACGTGACCGGCTCTCAGTACAGCCTCCACAGCTCAGGCGGCACAGGCGTCACCGCTTGGAAAAGTGCGACCAAACACGCGAAGCCAGCGGAGTCACTGCCACGGTCACGGGCACCCGCAATGGCATGAGGGCCTCATGCCGCGTTAGGATCTGAGTTCGGCAGAGGCTCGCAGCAGACCGAAGTCACATGGGCAGCGAGTCTTAGCCCCAGCCTTGTGAATCACGAAGGCCATGAAGAGGCTGCTTCCCGCATTCAACGCGTCTGTCCCGGAATCATTGGTGTCCTGCATCAAAGCCATACAAAAGCCATACTCCCCGACCCTTCAAGGCAGCTCCTAATTTCAAGCCCCCCCCTCAGCCCTAAAGCCGCAAGGGTCCGGTGTCTTGCCGACGAACTCCAGCAGCCGATCCATGGGGAGCTGATGTCGCACAGCCAGGTAGCAGGAGAAGATGGAGATCCTAGGTCGGCGCTCTTGGTTGACCAGAGTACAGTACAAGGAGACGACTATAGCATATAGACAAACAAGAGTTGAGGGCGCATCTTGAACCAGCGCAACAGGCGCAGGTGAGCTGTAGCTGTAGCTATTGGAGGTTGAAAGCTTAGCCTCGAATTCGGGCGCAGAGCGGGCCTTGGACCAGTCTAGGAAGGTTCCAGGGCTGAAGAGGCAAAGGAATCTTTGGGGTCTTCGCCATGCAGGGCCGTATTATGGAGGCTGAAAAGCTTTCGCGTCGTAGTTTGGTGTAGAGAGGGGCCTTCAGAGCGCTGATTCTGCCACTTCACTCCTAAAGCCTGAAACCCCCGAGGCGAAAGGCGTCTGCTCGAAAAGACTTGGGAGAGGTCTCCAGACGGCTGAGGTTTAGCAGATTCGCCCTGCGACATCGCCGGAAACCCTGAAGCCTCTGCGGGGTCTTCGTTACAGCCCCGGCACTTTCCCAACGTAATGCCCTAAAGCCCCGGGCCCCCAACCACACCCCATTCCGGAAGTCTCACCTAAATCATCCCCATCCCTGTACAGGATGTCCATATCCCGAAACCCAAACTCATCCCAAAGCCCGAACCATCCAAAGAAGCGAAGAATAAAATGGACATGAGCTGCTGACGAGTATCCCAGAGAGGCAGAAGTGAACCACGAGGCCCACCTTGCATAGGATCGGGGCAACAAGCTTCCCTTCCCCAGCATGAAACCTCACCGAAAACCACCTAGGCACCCGGGCCTGTCCGTACCGCAAAAGCGTGTCCTGCAGTCGTTGGGACACGCGCCCGGCGCTGCCATTGCGCGCCGCGGGCAGCGGCATGTCGACGTCTATTCAGATCTGTCGGGATTTGACACTGCCTTCACCGTACTCTCACCGTCTTTCATGCTCAGGGACTCTAGGCCCAAATAGGATTGAACTACAACACTGGTTCAACACTGGACCATGTGTCTCAACCATGGTGGTTCTGATGCTTTGTTTGCCTACAGAGGTCGCACCTGACCAAGAGCATGGAGAGATTCACAATTTGATGGTGTCAGAGCTCTCTTGCGACAGCCCGACACTACGAAAATCCTCCAACCAAAGCCTTGCTGCCTTCTTTGCCTGCTACCAAAGTCTTTCTCGTCGACGCCTGTCAAGAAGAGATACAAGGCTTTGCAAGAAAAGCAACCGCTACAACTACCACCGAAGAAGATCGAACAGCTGAGAGAAGGTTCGTGAGTCACGCCTTTTGTTCCTTGTGCTGTTAAGCCGGAGCTCGAACTCTCGCACTTTGCAAGCGGTGGCGGCGTGGAACCGGAGGCTTGATAGTTGCCCATCGCAGGTGTGCGCCAATTTATGGGGACTTGCCCCTCTGAGAAGCTCCGGCGTCAGATCCGTTCCCGGGCGCTTCGAGGCAGTGTCACACGGACATCAGACCGGGCAGCCCCAAATCCAGTCGCATGGTCGTCAGACTCGCCAGGGCGGCAGCCAGGTCAGGTACCGGTGAGTTGAAGTAGTCATGCACCCGATGTCTTTTTTTCAGCTTCCAGTCGATTCTTTTTCAAAAGCTTTCCCTTCTGCCACCATGCCATGGTGGTTGCCACGTTTGGGTGCTCTCTGACAGGTGTGTCACGATCAGCTTTAAGCCGCCAAAAGTTGAGCCGCCACATGGCCGAGGCCCTGCCATGTTCTCTGTTCCCAAGCCGGATGCCTGCAAACCGCTGTATCCAGCAACGACATTGCCTCCATCTCTTCTGCCGCTGCTCCGTAGTTCGACTCGGAGGGCAGAATCCGATACCGTGGGACCTCTCCCACTGTTTTCAGACAGCTTTGGGCAGGCATCAAGCCTGTGCAGTCGTGTGTTTGGTGCTTCAGGGATGCTTCTTCAAGGCTCTCAATATGCTGGAAACCTGGAGGCCAGAAGACACACTCAGACATGCATCAACCTGCAGGAACACAGCCTGAACCGAACATCGACAGCTGCAGTCAGTCACGACTCATTGCACATGCACACTCCGGACAAGACACGGATAAAAGCCTTCTGTTCGGAGCCTGCCAGAATCTCTAGACTCTACACCGTCCTTCTATTCTCATCAAGAAGCATCACCAGGCCGGCTTGCTGCCACATGCTGCAAAGGCCCCGCAGCTGGCCGCTCCTCTCGCAGGGCCACGCTTGCCTCCTCCACCTGATCGGAAACTGCGGCACAAATCCCGTTAGGAGGGTGGAGGGTTAGAGACCTTTGCCTTTCCAACAGCTGGCATGCCTCCGGCGAGATACTACCGTGCCAAGACCCTGCGACAACGATACCGCTCAGCCCGTCCCAGAAAAGGACCCCTGACGGCCCCCCTACCCTGAACCTCGACATCCTAGCTGCCCAGGAGACCCCGGGAGCTCTGACAAAAAGCCCATGCAATTTCCGAAGCCGCCCGAAGTCTTTGCCACGTCACCAGCTGCACCAACTCCAGGCTGGCATCCAGCACCCGCAGGGGCTTGCCGACTTCGGAACCTCAAACAAAATTGCTCCAAATTGGTGGGGAGAGGGCGGGTGGGGGAAAGGTTCGAGGTCGCATCGAGTTTCATCGCGGAAGGCGCAGGAGCAGCAGCAGAAGCAGCAGCAGCAGCAGCAGCAGCAGCACTCGTCTTGTCGTCGTCGTCGTCGCCGTCCGATTCCATGTCGGTAGCAGCCTCGCCGATTACACACAACAACAGGGTTGTTGGTGATGTTTTGCATGTGTATTCCAAAGTCTCTTCGGGAGCCCCGGCCTTCGGCAAAGACCACCGACATCCGTCGCATTTCACGTTGCAAGATTTCTATTTCAAGCTATCTACGATTGGGAGTTGAGGATCAGGACCATCAGAGCCTAAGCAAGGTGGATGGGGGAACTGCCGCACCCAATTGCGACTGGAGCTTCATGGTCCAGGATCCAGACAAAGCCACGGGTATTCTCAGTTAGATGATACCTTGCCTATTTTAGGCTATTGGCACCACCCGCCCCACCATCATCATACCTATCTTAAGAGAGCTATTTTTTCCCCAATATTTACTACTATCCAGGTGCCAATAGTCAAAATAGGCAAAGGGTTTCTTGTAGAATTTGGTTCAGGGTTTAGGGTTAAGGGTTGTAACTACATTGTAACTATAATATATAACTGCTTATATATTATAATTACATTATAACGATGGAATTAAGGAAAACTCAAGTGGATGTCGGTGAAGTCGTTCTTAAGAACTTTAAGTATGACTTGGTTCATTTTGTTTTCATCATTCTTGGTTTCTTCCGACAGTTTACTCCAGATATTTGGAAAATCGGTCTGCAATTGTTTTATCCTTGCTTCTCTGGTTCTGAGTCTAGATTCTCGTGTGTGTTGGTGAGTTTTTCCTGCTAAGTGGGCTTCGTATTTTTCTGGAAGAACTCTCAAACCACAACCACGGCAGTTGAATGCACCATTTTGTGCGGTTTTCTCTCGTTTTTTCCTATTGACCTCATCTTTGTTCTTTTCACGATACCGTCTGCTATGTTCACGACACCAACTGCATGTTTTAAACCCGTCAAAGTTGTCTACGTGCTTTACTAGCTTACATCCACTGCATACTTGGAATTCATCACCCATCGCTTCTAATATTCAAGGTTGGTATTTCTTTAAATGTTTTCTGAAGAAATGCTGTTATATCAGAAAAATGTTGTCACGAATTCTTGACAGATTTATCTAAGCATTCAGAACAAGTC